ATGTCATGATTCCCTTTTATGCCAGAAGTTTGGTCCTTAAGGGGTTAAGCTATTGAGTCATCCTGCATAATATAATAGTGTAGCTTGTTTGTGACAAACATTTGTCTGATATATTTGACAAAGTCTCTGTACCTAGATCCCTATATGTGATGGTTATTCCTAACATAGCAGTGATGCAATTCTTGTGGATTATATGCTTGGACTAGTGTTACATAGTTTTATCTTTGCAGATAAAACAAGCTGCAGAATAATCTTATTATCGCCACAGGCTCTGCCGTAAGTACTTCATCACTATCTGAAGAAAAGATCAGAGTAAGTATGCGGTTGTTTGTTCTCATAAGGACAACTGAATATCTTCTACTATCTTGCTTATTACATATCTGTTGCCACAATGGATCCTGTGCCTCTGGTTCCCATCTTTTAATCGGTGTCCTGCTCTTTACCTATGTCCAGTCCTACCTATATTGCACAACAGTCTCTAATCATTTTGATTCTACTGTTTGAAATTATTAGTACTATTTATAATATTTTTTACTTTGAATGTAGGTCATGACGTGGTTGGCCTACATTGCCTCCTTTTAATTTAGTAGTTGGTTAATACTGATATTTTTTAACTAATCTGAATGATGTGATTCTTCATGACTTTGCCTAATAATATCTACTTGTGTTATTGGTTTTTACCTCTCCTATAACTGTTCATTACTGTTTCAAACAATTCATTCACAGTGGGAGGTATTGATGAGAGTCTGATTTTTGCAATATATAGTCATTATTGTAGTTTTTTAATAACACTCTCTTATTTCTCTACTAGGCTCTGCCTTTTTCTTACAAGTAGATATTTTCTTTCCTGTATCTACAGGTAAATAGTTCACTACGCAAGATGAAGCAGTGTGAATTGTCTTCAATAAATACATTCAGAAAATAGTAGGATTTTCAGTTTAATTCTGCCCCTGTTTTATAGCAGGGTATGACTGTTTTCATCCAACACTATCTAAAATTTCATGGATTGTTCCAGTCTGATTTCTGGAAGTTATGCCTTTGTCAAGGTTCTGTTTTTTAATTTATATTAGAAAAGGACATTATAGGTCTATAATTTCTAGACCGTGTCTTGGCTTTATGGAGGTTATCTATTTTTCTTTTAATATCCATAACAGGGCGGGTGTCTTTTTTTTTTTTTTTTTTTACAAGAGTTTGTCTTGTATTAGTCTAGCCTTGTTTCTTTAATAGGTTTGGTTATCATGACCTTAATGCCTATCTGGCTCTATATTTCTCCAGGATATTTCCCACATTTAAATACCAAGGGATTGCTGACCTATCAGCCCCAAGGGTAAATTTTCTTGTCGGAACAGATTTTATGACAATATCCTATTGATTACTTGTTTGCCTTTTTTTGTCTTCTAAGGTTTATGCAGCTTAATGATGGTTTTTATAACTATCAGATGTACTCTATCCCTCCCTCTATATATACTGCTTGGGTATTCCCCATGAGTAAATGCTGCCATGATTGATCAGGAATATGGAAAACTGTTTCATACTTACCGTAATTTTCTTTTCCTGATAATTATTCATGGCAGCATTACGTTCCCACCCATATACTATAGGAGTTGTGAAGCTAGTTACAAAGACTGCCTGATGGGAAGGGGGAGGATCTATTTATACCAGTTTCAAAGTTCTATTTCCTGTCCTTTCTGCTGTGAGGGGAGGAGCTAACCCATGAGTAAATGCTGCCATGAATAATTATCAGGAAAAGAAAATTACGGTAAGTATGAAACAATTTTCCATAATATACATATATATATAATTTCATTCTAAGAGTATTTTGATATTAATATATTAATATATATTAATATCAAAATGCACTTGAATTAAATTATATATATAATTACATGGCTAAATACTTTTCGGACATACCTTGTATATATAGAGAGGCATTTACTGAAAAAGATACAAGAAACATTGTACATAGGACAATGACACCTCAGTCTCCTTTAAAGTTGCACCTTTGCCCCAGTTCTGTCAGCATCTCTTCCACTGTTCAAAACACTCCGCAAAATCCATTGTTGAAATCACCATCAGCTGCCTCATCGTATTTACCTGAATTTTATCGATGTCCTGAAATCTCATCTCTTTCAAAAGTAATTTTAGTTTTGGGAAAAGCCAGAAGTCTCAGGGCACCAATTCTTTCAACAGATTCACAACCACCTTTGAAGCGTTTGTGTCACACTTTTATTGGTGCTGCACTCATTGCATCATCCCCGAAAGCCTTCTGAATTATCCAAATAGTTTCCGCAGAGAAATGTTCAAGCATAATAAATAATTTGATGCAGATTAATTTTTCTACTCAGTCATTTTGAATGTGAGAGCAGTAAAATATATAATGATAATGATTTCATTGGTGAAAGGGCAGTTTTTGTGTGAAAAATGCAATGTGAACACTACATTTGGCCAGGGTTTGTGACGAAGTGGCAACTAAGAAAGACTGGACATAACCCATTTTGAAAACTCTGGGTTGTCTACTATTTCAAATGGTATGTCATGAAGGAAGTAATTTTTATTCCTGGGATGCCATACAGTCTCAAAGGCAACATAGGCCCAGCAAACCAAACAGGCAAATTTCAATGTATATAAACTGAAAATGTAAAAGTCCTATATTTGACCCTTTAACTTATCAAAACCCTATAAAACCTGTACATGTGTATGTGGGGGAGGGGGGGACTGTTGTACTCAAGCGTCATCGCTGTACACACATATGTGCATTTTATTGCAGTAAAAGCTAACAGTATTATGACATTCACATTTAAAATGCCATGCAGGACTTGGAAAATATTGTTGTTGTTTTTTTTTTTAGGTTTTATTCATTTTAAATTAAATTTCATATTTGAATATTTGATGTAAAATTCAATCCCCATTTCTCCTGAACAAAATGATATATAGTGTGTGGGTACACTTAGTATGAAAGAACCAACACACAGTGACTTAGTTTACATGAATGAAACAGAAAAAGCTAACATGGCATAATACTATTAAAACACATAAAAATCAATTACAGAGGTAATGGGTCACTCTCACTCTCCAGAGCCACATATTGCAGGTTCTGGCTATTCTGGCTTGTAGGTAGTAATGTTGATGTTTAGGCAATCAGCCCAACTCCTGGTTCACTCCATCCACTTGTTACCCAGATGTCAAATAAGGAAGTATCCAGTGGAGTATATGTAAAAATATCTACTACAAAGTAAAGAATAAAACCTACAAAAATAAACAAACAAAGGTAGCAGCAAGAAATAAAAAGATAAATGGTTACTTCTGCATTGCGTCCAGTTCTCTAACCTATGACCCCATGTCTTTACGTCATTCCATACCGCGTAATGACGTCATCGAAGCGATTAGATCATTGCGTAACTCCGCCTTCGCTCCTCCTTCGTTTTCCCCTTTCATTCATATCAGTATAAATGGGGCAGGGAGCAGCCTACCATTTCACAATAGGGCAAAGCCTATCATATGTATAGACATGGTAATCTTTTTGGTAATAAGTTAAAAAATTTGTTCTTTTGTATCTGCTAAGGTAAAATCTTAAAAACATCTAATAATTAACACATCACAATTCATAAAACTACAAAATGTATTCAAAGTACAGTCACATATAACTTTAAACTCATTATAAATACACACCTATGTGGTAAAGAGAGGAAAGGATTTTATAATATGAGGACAAATAGAGTATACTAATCTTATATGTTAAATAATACAAATCTGCCTACAAAAATATCTAAAAAATATTCATATAAAAAGATACATATATATATATATATATATATATATAAAAAATTATAATCTATAAAGGTTTTTTCCATATGGGACGAGTTCTTTTTGAAATTGAAAATCAATTAAAAATGTGATTCTTATTAAAAAAAATTAAGAAATGAAGGGATACATTATGATTTAGATAACCTCTTCTAATATTTTAAATATGCTCACGTATCCTTGCAGTTTCTCAATAACAATAATTACAATTGCAGGGTTAAGGGACCTGGGACAGTGAACCCACACCAGTTCAATGGGCTGAAGTGGTCTGAGTGTCTATAGTGTGATTTTAAAGGGTTAACTATATAGGTTGTCATAACAATCTGTTTTTGAAGGATCCTATTCTAAAGTGGAGTGATCCAATCAGTTATTGGAAGTCTGCATAAAAATGCCAAAGTTCAATAGGTAGAACATTACATTTTTGCCTTGGGTCTACATGGATAGATTGCAATGATGCACAATAGCATGACGTCCCTAAGGTGTTAATATTATATCTGTTAAATTCTTGTTTCGAGAACGTATTTTATCTTGCTTTGACATTACAAGTGTCAGATTACAATATAATAAATCACAAAATAATAAGTCACTGCATTCAGAAAATGAATACTTTACAAAGGAATTGACTGTGCTGGAGACTGTAGAGAGGAGCCTTTATTGCTCTTATAGTATTGAAGACCTGATTGTGAAATAATAAAATTCTAATCTACACATCATGGCTCAGGTGCAGAGATGTGCCATTAAGTAGTGATTCATTATTCAAAGCACTAACCCAGTCTGTGCAATGCTGATCTTTTTTCTCAAGGGTTTATCTCAAAGACACAGCTCTATTTTAAGAAAACATAAATAGTGCCAATCTTCTGTAATACTTTTAATTTGTACAAACTTTAAATATATGGAGGAAAATTAGTTTGGAGGAAAATTAGTTTTGAGACAAATGTATTTGAAACCTATTCTTCCAAGACATCTTAATTGCTCATATTTAAAAATGTTATGAATCAAACTTGGATACCGATTTAGATTTTTTTCACAGGAAAAAACTAAATTAAAAACATCAAAGAGCATGAGCGAAGCTTAGCAACTGAGCCGAACAGTCACATGACAAACAAGCTCCTGCATTTTCAGGACCAAATCTCCTTATTTGGAACATCCAAACCCTATTTCTATTTTCTTTTTGGAGCTGCTGGCGACAAGATAGAGGGATGGGTCGCAAGACAAAGAAGCCAAGACAGAATAAACTGCAGCAGGGTCCAAACATTGCAGAGCTCCTGCGGCTGACACGTGGGGCAACTTGGCCCAAGATGGCTGCCTATCCGGAGACCTACTTCGAGCTATTGGATAATTTCTCCTTTGGGGAAGAGGCTGCTGACTTACCTCCGGTGCAGATACCGGTACCGGTCGTTTAGAAAGCAGATGCTTCTCTGGAGAGCAGCTGAGTTCAATTGCATGGGTCTTAAAGGGCTTCAATTTGATCCATACAATATTTTATTCCTTATGACCTATTTATACTAAGTTTTAACTAGGATTAGTGAACCAACCTCATACAATCTAAACTGTCGTATATGGTAAGATATGTATTGTGCTCACCATAGTAGCAATGACCAAATACTAACAATGGTCATTTTGTAATGTTGCATGATGCACCTCTGTGAGAAATATATACCGTACATCAGGGATATTCAGGAAACAGATCTTCCATAGTTAGCAAAGTGTCCCATGAACCAATATAAGAGAAAAATGCAAGAACTGACTGGTAAAAGTTAAATGAGAATTTAAATGGGAGCTGCTAAATAGAAACACATGACTAATGGAAAGGAATGCATTTAATGATTCAGTCTTTTAAATGTTATGTAAGATAAATATTTCTAGAATGAGAATATAATCTTTGTTTTCGATCATAAAAATTACACAAATGTAACATATCAGATAGTCAAGGTAAATTTAATTTAAAGATGCATATAATAGTTTCTTATGTCTTTGAAATGACATACTAATTAGTTCAAATATGTTGTCTACTCCTGTTAGTTAATTATAAGAATTCTGTTTTGCATCTTTTTGTACCATGGTAGGTGAGCACAGACTGAGTGATATTTGGGAACAGGGTGCTGAAATGCAGGATTAGACCAAAATATCTCTATCATATCTAAATACTGCAAAATCCTTAATACGAGAATGTCACACCAATCACTATCTGGAGCTCCATTTAGAAACCTAAAACCCACAGGCTTTTCAACCCTTGCATTCCAACCAATCACATTATGCCAATAATTTTAACTGCTTGTCTATATTAGCTGTCTATTATGTCTATGAGAAATACTGCTTTTCATAGAGGTTTCTATGTTTCTCAGTGGAGCTTATGATAGTGACTGGTGAGACATATTCACCATTGTCACACCTTCCAGCCATGCAGGGACATGCTCATTGGTTGAGGGGGCTTAGCTCCGGTTGAGTTAGAGAAGCTGCTTGCAGGAACTTCCATATAAAGAGAAGGTGACAATGGATGGCTGGCAGAAACCAGGTAGGTTGTCAAACCGTTCTTGAATAGTTTGACTACTAACACTGGGAGTGTGGTAGTGGGTGTATACGAACACATCTTATAACACCGAAATGTATACTTAATCCTTAATAAAACAATTATTTGTGTAGCTGGAACCTCACTCGGGAAGAATAACACGTAAGACTACTTCAATCTGATTGGAAGTCTCAGATTTTCTTCTTAAAAACACTGTCACATCTAATTCCACATGGCTTTAGCATGACATCTTGAAGTGCAATCATTGTACACTGATAAGCCACAGCATTAAAACCACTGACAGGTGAAGTGAATAACATTGATTATATTGTTACAATGGCACCTATCAAGGGGTGGGATATCAGTTTTTGAATCTCGTGTTTTTTAAGCAGGAAAAATGGACAAGCGAAAATATCTGAGACTTTAATAAGAGCCAAATAGTGATGGCAAGATGACTGGGTCAAAGCATCTCCAAAACGGCAAGTCTTGTGAGGTGTTTCCAGGATGCAGTGGTTACTGCCTACCAAAAGTGGTGCAGGTGTAGTTCTGATGCTAACGTCCCTATTGAAGGCACTTTTGAAGGTAAATAGGGGTCATCATGGGCACTTTGACGTGTCTGCAGCTACGCAGCTCCATACACATGGAAGAAGGTAAAACAAAGAATGCAGGTAGTTTTTTAACAATAAAATATAAAAAGAGTTCAAAAATAAAACCTAAAAGAATAAAAAATACCAAATGAAAAGGCATAGTCTCAAAGGTAGCAGTAGATCTTCTAATTGAAGTATGGAACTTTATGGGTAGCTTAGTAACAGCATATGAAAAGAAAGCAAAAAAAGAGGCGGACCAATAATGCAATATGATAAAAAGCAATAGGACAAATAACACTGAAAATAGATGTCAACTCACATATGGTAGAGCTATAACTAGCTTTAAGTAAAACAGCACGCAGTGGTATGCAATCACCACGTGTAGGATATCCCTCTGATTTTGGTACACAGTAGAATACTAGTCAATCCCAACTGAATAACATTGAGGTAGATCATGTGGAATGATATAAGTAAGTAATGGTAAGATAAATTGAAATATACTTGCAATAAAGTGAACAGACTGACTGCTCTATGATTCATGTCTGAGTGGTATAATCCCCATGAAGGACTCTTTAGTTGATTGTCAGCAGAAGATGATAAGTCCAGATGTCAGGTAAAATATATAAATAACTTCTAAAAAGTATATGGCTAGAAATAGGTAATAAGGTAGCCAAAAATACTTTAATAACAGAGATAAAAAAAGGTTTCTCCCCTTAGGGCTTTCTCAAGTGGAAGAAGGTAGCCTGATCTGATGAACGTTTTCACGTTTTCTTTTATGTCCGGTGGAGCTGGGTGCGTTTGCGTCATTAAGCTATGGAAGAGATGGTAGCAGGATGCACTATGGGAAGTAGGCAGGACAGCAGAGTCAGTGTTATGGTCTGGGAAATGTTCTACTGGGAGACCTTGGTCCCTGGCATTTATGTAAATGTTACTTTGACATGTACCACCAAACAAGCGATTGTTGCAGACCACGTACACCCTTCATGGTAATGATGTTCCCTTAGGACAGTAACTTATTTCAGCAGGATAATGCACCCTGCTACACTGCAAAAAATATTCAAGCTTGAGGAACATGACAAATAATTCAAGGTGTCACCCATTGAGGTTCCACCTCGCAACTTGCAGGACGTAAAGAATCTGTTACTAATGTCTTGGTGCCAGATAACACAGGACATGTTCAGAGGTCTTGTGTAGTTCATGCCTCAATGTATCAGAGCTGCTTTGGCACCTTCATAATATTAGGCAGGTGGTCTTAATGTTGTATCTGATCGGTGCATAATAATTCAAAGTCACATTTAGTTTATCATTTATTTAAGGTGTTCCATATCCAAGTTTGACGTACTTGCTATAATGAAAACCATTATTGAACATCAACACAATGTGTGAATACATTGATAGATATCAATTGTAAAATGTTGGCCACAATCTAATTTTACTAGTAAAAGTAATTCCGTTGGGATTCTACCTTGATGCAGTTTTTAATTTCCTTCCTGCGACATATGAATTCTGCAAACTGCGTGGAAGCAATTCATATGTATCACCAGTAGTATTTAGGAGTAAAATATTTAAAGAAACATAGAGGATCTGCCAGCCATACTCTGGACATGTCAGATATGTTTTAGAAACTTTTTTTATCAAGTTTAAAGCAAAACTAAATCTATTTGCCATCTCCTAAAACAAACATTATCTTGATTATGTCGTAGGATCTGGATTAGGCTGCAGATTCTTTCACTGATTTAACTAAGTAGAGAAAAGCTGCATTCATTAGCTTGCAAACAGCTTTGGGGGATCACAGCCCAGCTGTTTAAACCTCTAAGGAGTGATGCACTATTGAACCAGCATTAAGAATTCAATCAGCCTTCACAGCAGCCGCATCACTTAAAGAGACATCTGCCAAGCAAAGCAGCTTCACTAACATGCCAACTTGCAGATGCCAATCAATTTGTAGAGCAATTTGAAGATGACTTGACATGATGTCAAACCAGGCAATATACAGCTATTACTATTGTTTTTATGGTTAAAAAAATTAAAAGTCTCTCCCCACAATTCTCCCTATTTAGTACAGTGACACATATGTAAATGGGCCTGTTTAAAGCAAAATAAAAGATCTGTTTATAGAGAATGCTAGTAAGGGAAGTGTAAAGCCTACATGAATTGGAGATTTTATCCAATTTAGTATTTTGATCCTTAAATCCCATTAAATGCCACTAAAATGTGCACAGGTTACTCCCCTGACTACAAACAAAACCAAAATGTGTAATTTCCTGCATTAGTAATTATATAATCAGAAAAGGAGTTAGAGGTCTTTGAAACAAAAAGAGAGACTATGAAAACAGGCAAAAGCCAGGGCCGGACTGGCCCACCGGGATGCAGGGAAATCCTGCCGGTCACAGAATGTAGCTTGGCCAAGCAGGCAGACCGCGGGTAGAGGAGCTCCTGTTCCCCTACCCGGTCTGACAGGAAGTGCTCACAGAGAGCACATGACTGCTTCCTGTCAGACAGTGAACAGGAACTCCTCCACGCGGTCTGCGTGCTCGACCTGGAGCATGGAGGTCTTGTGGGGTTAATGAGACACATGGAGGGCTGGGGTGAATGGATTGACACATATAGATGACTGGGGTGATGGATTGAGAAACATGGGAGGGGGGCTATAGGGACATATGGGGGGCTAATGTGACACATGGAGGACTGGGGGTCTAATAACACATATGGAGGGGCTAATAAGACACATGGAGATCTGGTGGATGGATTGAGACACATGGATGTCTGAGGGGATGGATTTAAAAGCATGGAGGGGTGGCGGGGGTAATGATACACATGCAAGGCTGGAGAGGGTGGAATGAGACACATAGGGGGGCGGGGGAGTACAAAGACACACAGAGAGGCTGGTGAGAAAAAAAGACACTGAGGGGTCTGGCAAGAAAGAGACAGAGGGGCTGGGAAAAGGTAACAGGAGACACACAGAGTGGCTGGGGAAGGGAAGAATGAGACACAAAGAGGAGCTGTGGGGAAAGAGACACACAGATGTGCTGCAGCCTGGGAAAGAGACTAAGAGAAGGGCTGTGGAAGGGGAGAAAGAGACAAAGGGGTTGGGGCTAAGAGACACATGAAAGGAGCTTGGGGGAGAAAGACACTAACAAAATGCATCTTCACTTGTGTCTCCTACTCTCCCAGTAATTTAGAGTCGACTGGTGAGAGAAAGATTTCATATTAAAGGGACAGTCACCAGAACTTCTACAGTTTAATGTAGTGGTTATGATGTCTATAGCCTGTCCCTGTATGCTGAGCACTG